GCTCAGCCTCCACCCCGTCCCAGGTTTCCCCCGGCTTCTTGCAGGGTCGCTCACACCACCTAACTCAACTACGCACACACCTCCCCAGCTCCACAGTATGCCGTGTCTCTGTGGCCCAGGCGTCTGCCCACACCGCCTCGGACACCCACGGGACAACAGGCCTGGACACTGCCGAGTGCCCAGGAACTGCACCAACATGAGTGGGCCATGACGAACCAAACGCCGAAGGTGGGAGAAGCCATGAACCAACTCTGACCCTGTCTCCAACTCAGGCTCCGTGGTACTCGGGGGAAGGACCAGGGACACTGGGACAGAATGCAGCGTGACACAGCCTGGTCCTCGTTCCTAGCTGAAGGAAACCTTGGGACCACAAATGCAGAAGGTGGTGTGGAGGTGGTGGTGACAGGGACAAGGCTGCAGACACAGACCCCTGGGGCAGGCTCAGCTCCTGCCCCCACACACATGGCCACACTGGCAGCCCAGGATATCGCTCTGTCTCCTAGCATCTGTGAATTCCCCAGGACAGCTCACCACTACCTTTGAAGCCAGGAAGCCACTGGGGAACACACACTTGGGTTTGGTTTGATTGTGTTCCTGTGACTGAGCAGGTCTTGGATCCAGTTGCCGGCTCTCAGAGCTGCACAGAAATCCAGGAACTGGCTCTAACCAGGTGACCACAATGGGCACAAGATCGTGCCTGGGCAGGGAACTTGCTCTACTCCTTGGCCCTGCTGGCCTGACCCTCTCATCCTTGGGATCTCACCCACACCCAGCCTTTCCAAGGCTGCTGCTCCATCACCCGAGGACCATCACAGGCCAGGGATTTTAGCTCAGTGGTACAGCATCTGCCTCACAAGTGCAAGGTCCTAAGTTTGACCCCTGGTATCAGAAAAAGAAGAAAAAAAGGAGAGGGCCATCAAAAGGTGTCACCATGTTGACTTTGTGATAAACCACACGTGCTCTGCTGGGTGTCTCTTTACCGGGTGATGCCCATGGGTCTCATCACATTCTTTAGGCCCCAGAATTATAAGTAAATGTCAACATCAAATAGAAAGCACATTCCCTTGAATACCAATTCAAGAACCACCAATTTAATCCTGTAGGTGTCACAAGATTGCAAGTCTGGGCCCAGCCTGGGCAACTTAGCAAGATCCTATCTCACTCCCCCACCACGCTGAAAAGCAGGGGTGGGGACCGGGGATGTAGTGGGAAGGCCCTGAGCTCAGTCCTCAGTACTAGGGGGAAATGTGATGAGAAAACGGTACCGCTGAGCAGCAAATCCTCTAGGAGACTTGCAAGGGTCTGTGAAGCTGCTGGCAGGATTCTGGCCAGGTACAGGTGTCAGAGGCCCGATGGGGACAGCTGTCACCATTCCCTCTGGGCTATGGAGGCACTGGAGCCCAGACCCTAGCCTGGCGGCCCGTCCCCAGAGCCCCATACCGTGTGGCAGGTGCACACGTGGGGGACCCTGAGGCAAAGCTGCACAGAGCCAGGCGTGCACACAGCCGAGCCGCAAGCTGGTGCCGTGCAGAATCAGCCCACACAGTGAATTTTTAAACTGCACTTTACAAGCAGCTGCAGGAAGCCACACGCACGTGGAGCACGAGCGTGCACAGCCACAGGACTTAACCCCTGAAGTGCCACGCACACTGTGCTGGCAGGAGGACAGCATCCCAGCATTAGTGCAGACAGTCAGCAGCCGGGGGTAGTGGCTTCTGCAGATGAGCAGCCAGCTCCTGGAAGATGGGGCGGGGGGCACCAGGCCAAGGTCCCGTTAGTGGGCTCCAAGGCCTCTCCCCTCTCCCCCCAGCAGTCAGGCTCTCCCAGGCCCATGCTGCTGAGGGCTGCAGGGATAACTGCCCTTTCTAACGCACACACCTGTGGGGACCCGGTGCCTGGAGCCACAGCACAGGTGGGGCCAAAACTTGAAAAACCAGGTTCAAAATGGGAGGGAAGGTGCAGCTGTGCCAAATCAAACAGCAAGAGAGCCAGGGTGAACGGTGCGGAGAGCTGTCCTCTGATGGACTGCCAGGGTGCTGCGAATGTCAATGGGTGACCAGCGCAGGCAGCCCCACCCCAGGGCGCTGTCTGGAAGCAGGGCAGGGAAGAAAGCCTCCGGCACACCTGGACGGGTGAGTCAGCCTCAGCCCTGCCACCAGGGTGGGCAGGACTGCGGGGGACACGGCTCAGGACACTGGCTGGAGCTTGGAGCTGGAGGAGGTTCCAGCCACCTGAATATCTGGGGGGGAGCCCTGGGACACAGGTGGGTGTCTCAGGCAATGTGTCATTTGGGACAAAAGTCTAAAAACAGACAGGCCCCAGGGAACAGGCCACACCCTCCTCATCCACCCTCTATCAGCATGCAGTCAGGCTGCTGGAAGGTCAACCACAGGGGTGAGTCAGCTCCAGCTCCTCGCCAGGCCTGTCTCAGGATTTCAGGTACTACAGCAACCTAGAGTGCAGACTCACATTTTGAGCTTAGGAGTGAAAAATCAGTCCGAGAGGAAACTTCTCCTCCCACACGAGGAGAGGCAGGACTGGGGCCACCAGGTCCAGCTGAACCATGACACTCAAGTATCATACACAAACGAATATGTACAAGTGTGTACATGTTCGCAACACGCCCACGGCTGTGCGCACACCCCCTCAAGGGCACCAACAGATGCACAGGAGTGCACACAGTGATTTCTGGAGTGTTGTGAAACAAGGAGCATCCAGTGGACACAGCCAGCTGTGCCTCGTGGTCCATTCCACCCACTAAGTCCCAGCAGGGCCGGGTGAGACCCCAAGTCAGCCTCACCCAGCCGGGCTGCTCAGCACACAACTCACTCAGGGTGGCCTGACTCCCACCCCCAGCACAGTCAGAGGGCTAGGGCCCCGCCCAGGCTCCCAGCTGAGCACAACTCCAGCCACAGCCCTGCTTCCCCATCCCTCTGAGCAGCTCTCCCGGCTGACAGGATCCCAAAGGGCATGAGCAGCTGCCCTCAGGGAGACCTGTGGGCCCCTCCATCCCAGTGTACCCACCCCAGGCCTAGACGGACTCTGGGATACTGGGATACACACCTCAAGACACAGGAGCCATAAGGGCCTCCACGGCCTGGACCCTTGGACCTGCAGGCAGCCCAAGGGACTGAAAGAGGGAACCCACTGGACTGCACTCTGCACCTTACTTGGGATGGTCATTTGGCTCCTCCCCGCATGAGTCCAGCACATATGACTTCTGTGTGACCCCTGAATCTGTTTTCCCAGAAGCCAGCACGTTGTTTGCTAATTTTTTTGAGAACAGGACTTCAACAGTGTACGTAGTTCAGACTGGCCTTGAACTCAGGGACCCTCTTAGTCTCTCCACTAGGATAACAGGGGTGGGCGGGTGTGTGTGTGACCACACCCTGCTATTCAGACCATTTTAAGAGTGAACAGCTCAATCACATGATCTCCACATCTTAATTCTAGAACATCTTTCTCATCCCCAAAGAGCCCGCCCATCCACCATCAGCAGCCACTCCCCATCCCAGATCTCCCTACAGTATCTCTACAG